TGTGTATCTGACTGATGAAGGCTGCAGTGCAGGTGAAATAACTCGGTAATAGAGATACTCAGGTGTTGTACATGTCTTGTTCATCAACCTGTATGATGGTGAGGGGTTCTTCCTTTGCTTCCTTGGATCATACCTGATTACCTCTCATTCCCAAGGCACTCATGACCATTATGGGTTTAGTGCTCCCCATTCATTATAATAATAATCTCTGTACATCCATAATACTTCAGACCTTATGTTTTCTCGCATAAGCCATTTGGATTTGTCATTATTTACTTGTGCAGGGCATGACACAAACTGGAGATGCACCTGAGAACCACCAGACTGAGGGTGAAAAAGAACCTCATGAACTGGCAGAGATGTGTCTCAGGGAACTGGTCTCTCGTGCTACTCACGGCAAGATACATAGTGTGGTCAAGCCACTTCTCATGTAAGACTGAAGTGTTAAGTGCCCATTAATTTGATTATTACTGTAATAAAATTAGATAACATTCTATATGATTTTTTAGGTCGGTAAATATAATAGTTTTAAGTTAATTACTCGTTTTTTGTCTTCTGCAGACATTTGGACCAGGAAGGGTTGTGGGTTAGCAACTGCTTTGCTGTCCAGGTGTTCAAGATTCTTATGTTCTCCATACAGGTAAATAGTGAGGAAAATCGGGAAATTCTCTTCTTTCTCAGGTGCTGCACGATCCTTACATGTGTAAAGCATCACAATTATTACAATAAAAATAATAATCTGCCCTCATGTTAGCTATTCTTCTTCTTTCAACAAACCAGCCATATCCCACTGAGGCAGGGTGGCCCAAAAGGATAAACAAAAGTTTCTCTGCAGGAGAAGGGGTTACTAGTCCCTTCCTCCAGGCTTTTAGTTGCCTCTTAAAATACGCATGGCTTGCGGAAGGAGAATTCTATTCCATTTCCCCATGGAGATAAGAGGAAATAAACAAGAAGAACTAGTAAGGAAATAGAAGAAAACCCAGAGGGGTGTGTGTATACATATACTTGTCCATGCATGTGCAGTGTGACCTAAGTGTAAGTAGAAGTAGCAAGACGTACCTGTAATCTTGCATGTTTATGAGACAGAAAAAGGACACCAGCAGTCCTACCATCATGTAAAACAATTACAAGCTTCCATTTCACACTCACTTGGCAGGGCAGTAGTACTTCCCTGGGTGGTTGCTGTCTACCAACCTACTACCTAGGATGGGAGCTATTATCTTGGCCAATTAGCCAATAGCTCACACTCACTATACAGAACTTTTTCCATAGAACAAAGAGATGCACTAATAGAAGAAATGCTGCTTCAAAAACATATAGGTAAATAAATGCTAAGACCCCTTTATTATTGTATTGTTGAAGATTAGAATCTATTGAGACCTAGATTAGATTGTTATTGTTAATGCTAGCCAAAGAGCCTATATAAATACTACAGTGGACCCCCGCTTAACGATCACCTCCCAATGCTACCAATTTTTTTTTTTTTTTTATTATCACACTGGCCGATTCCCACCAAGGCAGGGTGGCCCGAAAAAGAAAAACTTTCACCATCATTCACTCCATCACTGTCTTGCCAGAAGGGTGCTTTACACTACAGTTTTTAAACTGCAACATTAACACCCCTCCTTCAGAGTGCAGGCACTGTACTTCCCATCTCCAGGACTCAAGTCCGGCCTGCCGGTTTCCCTGAATCCCTTCATAAATGTTACTTTGCTCACACTCCAACAGCACGTCAAGTATTAAAAACCATTTGTCTCCATTCACTCCTATCAAACACGCTCACGCATGCCTGCTGGAAGTCCAAGCCCCTCGCACACAAAACCTCCTTTACCCCCTCCCTCCAACCCTTCCTAGGCCGACCCCTACCCCGCCTTCCTTCCACTACAGACTGATACACTCTTTGAAGTCATTCTGTTTCGCTCCATTCTCTCTACATGTCCGAACCACCTCAACAACCCTTCCTCAGCCCTCTGGACAACAGTTTTGGTAATCCCGCACCTCCTCCTAACTTCCAAACTACGAATTCTCTGCATTATATTCACACCACACATTGCCCTCAGACATGACATCTCCACTGCCTCCAGCCTTCTCCTCGCTGCAACATTCATCACCACGCTTCACACCCATATAAGAGCGTTGGTAAAACTATACTCTCATACATTCCCCTCTTTGCCTCCAAGGACAAAGTTCTTTGTCTCCACAGACTCCTAAGTGCACCACTCACTCTTTTTCCCTCATCAATTCTATGATTCACCTCATCTTTCATAGACCCATCCGCTGACACGTCCACTCCCAAATATCTGAATACGTTCACCTCCTCCATACTCTCTCCCTCCAATCTGATATTCAATCTTTCATCACCTAATCTTTTTGTTATCCTCATAACCTTACTCTTTCCTGTATTCACCTTTAATTTTCTTCTTTTGCACACCCTACCAAATTCATCCACCAATCTCTGCAACTTCTCTTCAGAATCTCCCAAGAGCACAGTGTCATCAGCAAAGAGCAGCTGTGACAACTCCCACTTTGTGTGTGATTCTTTATCTTTTAACTCCACGCCTCTTGCCAAGACCCTCGCATTTACTTCTCTTACAACCCCATCTATAAATATATTAAAACAACCACGGTGACATCACACATCCTTGTCTAAGGCCTACTTTTACTGGGAAAAATTTCCCTCTTTCCTACATACTCTAACTTGAGCCTCACTATCCTCGTAAAAACTCTTCACTGCTTTCAGTAACCTACCTCCTACACCATACACTTGCAACATCTGCCACATTGCCCCCCTATCCACCTGTCATACGCCTTTTCCAAATCCATAAATGCCACAAAGACCTCTTTAGCCTTATCTAAATACTGTTCACTTATATGTTTCACTGTAAACACCTGGTCCACACACCCCTACCTTTCCTAAAGCCTCCTTGTTCATCTGCTATCCTATTCTCCGTCTTACTCTTAATTCTTTCAATAATAACTCTACCATACACTTTACCAGGTATACTCAGCAGACTTATCCCCCTATAATTTTTGCACTCTCTTTTATCCCCTTTGCCTTTATACAAAGGAACTATGCATGCTCTCTGCCAATCCCTAGGTACCTTACCCTCTTCCATACATTTATTAAATAATTGCACCAACCACTCCAAAACTATATCCCCACCTGCTTTTAACATTTCTATCTTTATCCCATCAATCCCGGCTGCCTTACCCCCTTTCATTTTACCTACTGCCTCACGAACTTCCCCCACACTCACAACTGGCTCTTCCTCACTCCTACAAGATGTTATTCCTCCTTGCCCTATACACGAAATCACAGCTTCCTATCTTCATCAACATTTAACAATTCCTCAAAATATTCCCTCCATCTTCCCAATACCTCTAACTCTCCATTTAATAACTCTCCTCTCCTATTTTTAACTGACAAATCCATTTGTTCTCTAGGCTTTCTTAACTTGTTAATCTCACTCCAAAACTTTTTCTTATTTTCAACAAAATTTGTTGATAACATCTCACCCACTCTCTCATTTGCTCTCTTTTTACATTGCTTCACCACTCTCTTAACTTCTCTCTTTTTCTCCATATACTCTTCCCTCCTTGCATCACTTCTACTTTGTAAAAACTTCTCATATGCTAACTTTTTCTCCCTTACTACTCTCTTTACATCATCATTCCACCAATCGCTCCTCTTCCCTCCTGCTACCAATTATGCAAGTGTATTTATGTAAGTGCGTTTGTACGTGTATGTTTGGGGGTCTGAAATGGACTAATCTACTTCACAATAATCCTTATGGGAACAAATTTGGTCAGTACTGGCACCTGAACATACTTCTGGAATGAAAAAATATCGTTAACCGGGGGTCCACTGTATAATAAAACACAATGTTTATTTTCCATATAAGAAGGCAATAAAAAGTAAATGTTATATTTTTTATTACAGTGGTACCTTGGGATATGAACTTATTTTGTTCCAGAAGGCTGTTTGAGTGCTGATACCAAACGAATTTGTTCCCGTAAGGAATAATGTAAATTAGATTAATCCATTTCAGACCCCCAAAAATACACTTACAAAAGCACTTACATAAATCTTTCAACATACCAGCCGTATCCCACCGAGGTGGGATGGCCCAAAAGGAAAAACGAAAGTTTCTCCTTTTACATTTAGTAATATATACAGGAGAAGAGGTTACTAGCCCCTTGCTCCCGGCATTTTAGTCGCCTCTTACGACACGCATGGCTTACAGAGGAAGAATTCTGTTCCACTTCCCCATAATTGTTCGCATTTTGAGCTGTTCGTATCCCAAGGTACCACTGTATTATTAACACATTGGGTGTTTCCCACCAAGGCAGGGTGGCCCGAAAAAGAAAAATTTTCATCATCATTCACTCCACCACTGTCTTGCCAGAGGCATGCCTACACTACAGTTATAAAACTAACATTAACACCCCTCTAAATGTCTGGTACTAATTTTCACATCTGTAGTCTCACTCACTTTAGTGAATTTTCTGAATCTAGTACTAAATTTTTAATGTTGATATATTGAATATTGGTATGAGAAGCACATGGTATGTTCAAAAGTTTTATAGAATGATTTTTTCAATATTAAGGATGAGTTTACTTGCAGTCATACAGATGTGGGTGTTTCTAGTTCATCATTCACTATGAAAAACACTGCAGGAGACGTTTGCTTGGTTTCCTAGATGGGAGTTTTAATTATGCAGAGGAACGAAATTTTTTGAGGTCATGCAAGCTCAAAGAATCATAGTTGTAATTATTTTAGGAAAGTGTAATTTCACATAAGCTCAAATTATTTATGATTTTAGTTTAGTCTTAGTATATTGTGACATGCTTGTTTGTCCTCAGGTGCAGTATAGTATAACAGTGATAGAACTGATCATGACGCACCTCAACGAAAAGAACTCCGAGCCGGCCCAGATTCGCACTGGCATTGCAGATGTTTTGTCCAAAATCATCCCCATTGCAGCAGGAGAATGTATTGGTAAGTTAAGATGTTATCCTCTGTACTATTCTCTACCAGGGAGGTTCCTTGAGGCTGGTGAAGAACTCTTCATCCAGGGAATTGGTGCTCTCTTTTTCCTTGGATCAAATCTGATTGTCTTTGATTCCCCAGGTGCTGTACAGTCCTTATGGGTTGAGCACTTCCTCTTAATAATAATAATAATAATAATAATAATAATAATAATAATAATAATAATAATAATAATAATAATCATACAGGGTCTGCACTCTAAAGGAGGGGTTTGGGATATTTACTGTTTGGAGGGACATCTGAACTGTCGTATCTGTGCACCTCTGGCAAGACAGTGATAGTGAATAATTGTGAGAGTGTTTCTTTTTTTTGGGTCACCCTGCCTCAGTGGGAGACGGCCAATGTGTTAAAAATAGTCAAGCATTATGCGCTTTCTAGACCACATTCAGAATTTTGTACATTGGGGGTTTTGTACAACTGGCATGATAAATCTCTCATATCATAAGAATGTAATTTTCTGAAAAATTTTGGTAAAACAATTAAAAATGTAGAAAATCGGTATTGCATATTTTTTTCAAAATATTACTGAAAAAATTAACACTAAATTTGAATCATAATTAAGGGGACTCATAGTTTAGTTTTTTTTTGTTTCTGCATGAAAGGAAACTATGGCTCCAATAAATTACCTTTCCAATTTAGTGTTAGTATTCACATTTTTTTTTTTTTCCAACAAACCGGCCGAGGCAGGGTGGCCTCTTTGCAGAGGCACCCATATACAAAAGTTCAGATGTCACTCCAAGCAGCCAGTATCTCAAACCCCCTCTGAATTTTATCTTCTTTCAACGCACTGATCGTATCCCACCGAGGCGGGGTGGCCCAAAAAGAAAAACAAAAGTTTCTCCTTTTAAATCTAGTAATATATACAGGAGAAGGTTACTAGCCCCTTTCTCCTGGCATTTTAGTCGCCTCTTATGACACACATGGCTTATGGAGGAAAAATTCTGTTCCACTTCCCCATGGAGATAAACAGAAATAAACAAGAACAAGAACAAGAACTAGTAAGAAAATATAAGAAAATCCAGAGGGGTGTGTATATATATTCGTGTACATGCATGTGTAATGTGACCTAAATGTAACTAGAGGTAGCAAGATATACCTGAAATCTTGCATGTTTATGAGACAGAAAAAAGACTCCTGCAAACCTACCATCATGTAAAACAATTACAGGCTTCCGTTTTACACTCACTTGGCAAGACCGTAGTACCTCCCTGGGCAGTTGCTGTCTACCAACCTACTACTTACATCTGACTTTTATATTTGTGTTTAAATATGGTCAGTATCTTTAAATGCAAATATGGATTAGGCTGTCCGAGTTATTTTTCTATTGTAATTATTAATCTCTTAAAATTGTATTTTTTTTTTACAGGTCCTTCAGTTATTGACATTATCAACTCTCTATTGGAGCACATCCGGTCATCAGTTGTAGGAGGGACGAGCGGAAAGGAAGGCTCAGCGGAGAAGGTCTACCAGGAGACCCTCATTCATGCCCTCGGAGAATATGCCAATCACTTGCCAGACTACCAGAAAATTGACTCTATGGTGTTCATTCTGAATAAGGTACAGTATATTGGTAATTTATATAAGAGATAATGACTAAAAAGAAATAATGTGAAAGAATATTGGTTTGTCTTAACTTTTGTTTAGGAAAAAAAAAAAGGGGGTGGCCCCCATAGACACCATAGAGCCCAAAAGGGTGACACAAGTACAAAACAGTGCTGCACCAACATAAGAGAAGAATCCTTCATTTCTATGTAGCCTATTATATATTAACAAAGTACAAATAAACCTATATAGGGAAAATCATTGATTTTAATGATGTAAAAGGGGTTTTTTGAAATTTTGAAGGCAAGAAAATTAGGATAAATTCACTGGATTTTACCTGTACTCAAGTCAAATGAAACAGTTTCACTGAGATATTACCTTCCCAAAGGCAAGTGTAAATCAGATTCACTGAGATGTTACCTGCACTCAAGGCAAATCGGAACAAGTGTTTCTCTATATTGCAATGGGTTTTTTTTTATTTTTTTATTTTTTTTTTTGTTTTTGCATTGTGAAAACTAATAAATGTAGGGTCTGTTGGCTGTACTCAAAATGGTATTTTAGTTTATGTTTCCTCAAAAATTTCCCCAATATTCTCCTGTTTGGGTTTATTTTTTTTTTTATTATCACACTGGCCGATTCCCACCAAGGGAGGGGGGCCCCAAAAAGAAAAAATTTCACCATCATTCACTCCATCACTGTCTTGCCAGAAGGGTGTTTACACTACAGTTTTTAAACTGCAACATTAACACCCCTCCTTCAGAGTGCAGGCACTGTACTTCCCATCTCCAGGACTCAAGTCCGGCCTGCCGGTTTCCCTGAACCCTTCAAAAATGTTACTTGGCTCACACTCCAACAGCACGTCAAGTATTTAAAACCATTTGTCTCCATTCACTCCTATCAAACACGCTCACGCATGCCTGCTGGAAGTCCAAGCCCCTAGCACACAAAACCTCCTTTACCCCCTCCCTCCAACCTTTCCTAGGCCGACCCCTACCCCCCCTTTCCCTTCCACAACAGACTGATACACTCTTGAAGTCATTCTGTTTCGCTCCATTCTCTCTACGTGTCGAACCACCTCAACAACCCTTCCTCAGCCCTCTGGACAACAGTTTTGGTAATCCCGCACCTTCTCCTAACTTCCAAACTATGAATTTTCTGCATTATATTCACACCACACATTGCCCTCAGACATGACATCTCCACTGCCACCAGCCTTCTCCTCGCTGCAACATTCATCACCCATGCTTCACACCCATATAAAGAGCGTTGGTTAAAAACTATACTCTCATACATTCCCCTCTTTGCCTCCAAGGACAAAGTTCTTTGTCTCCACAGACTCCTAAGTGCACCACTCACCCTGTTCCCCTCATCAATTCTGTGATTCACCTCATCTTTCATAGACCCATCCGCTGACACGTCCGCTCCCAAATATCTGAATACATTCACCTCCTCTATACTCTCTCCCTCCAATCTGATATCCAATCTTTCATCACCTAATCTTTTTGTTATCCTCATAACCTTACTCTTTCCTGTATTCACTTTTAATTTTCTTCTTTTGCATATCCTACCAAATTCATCCACCAATCTCTGCAACTTCTCTTCAGAATCTCCCAAGAGCACAGTGTCATCAGCAAAGAGCAACTGTGACAACTCCCACTTTATGTGGGATTCTTTATCTTTTAACTCCACGCCTCTTGCCAAGACCCTCGCATTTACTTCTCTTACAACCCCATCTATAAATATATTAAACAACCACGGTGACATCACACATCCTTGTCTAAGGCCTACTTTTACTGGGAAATAATTTCCCTCTTTCCTACATACTCTAACTTGAGCCTCACTATCCTTGTAAAAACTCTTCACTGCTTTCAGTAACCTACCTCCTACACCATACACCTGCAACATCTGCCACATTGCCCCCCTATCCACCCTGTCATATGCCTTTTCCAAATCCATAAATGCCACAAAGACCTCTTTAGCCTTATCTAAATACTGTTCACTTATATGTTTCACTGTAAACACCTGGTCCACACACCCCCTACCTTTCCTAAAGCCTCCTTGTTCATCTGCTATCCTATTTTCCGTCTTACTCTTAATTCTTTCAATAATAACTCTACCATACACTTTACCAGGTATACTCAACAGACTTATCCCCCTATAATTTTTGCATTCTCTTTTGTCCCCTTTGCCTTTATACAAAGGAACTATGCATGCTCTCTGCCAATCCCTAGGTACCTTACCCTCTTCCATAATTGCACCAACCACTCCAAAACTGTATCCCCACCTGTTTGGTTTATGGTCCTTAAATATTCTCATTGCTAAACATTAGTCACTCAATGGTCATGCAGTAGTGACATAACTGGAGTTTACCCCCCCCCCCCTTCTTTGAATTTCATGGGGGGGACACCAAAAATGTTGCCCCGGGTGACACCTGAGATTCTGCCCCGGGTGACACCAACTCTAGCGACGCCTCTGTGTGATTGTAATAATAATAAGAATAATATTCATATTTTAATTGTATTGCTTACGCTGCTGTTTATGGTCAGTGTGAAGAAATAGGCAAGAGGTAAAATTTGTTTATTTTAACTCTCCAGTCGACTCCCACCAAGGTACAGTGACCTGAAAGAAAAGAAATTCTTCCATAAAGCTTTTCTTCATTTTAGTAATTAATACAGAAGGGGCTACTAGCCTCTTGCTCCTGGCATTTTAGTTGCCTCTTACGACTTGCATGACTTATGGAGGAAAGATTCTTCTCCACTTTCCCATAGAGGAATTTCTATTTTTTTTTGTTTTTTAATATGCTGGCCATTTCCCACTGAAGCAGAGTAACCCCAAAAAGAAACATTTTCACCATCATTCACACTATCACTCAAGCAGATATGACAGGTTAGATGTCATGGATACATTAAAACAATAAATAGTTTTATTAGTACGGTGTTTACCTGGAGTTTACCTGGAGAGAGTTCCGGGGGTCAACGCCCCCGCGGCCCGGTCTGAGACGGTGTGTGAGAAGAGTTAGTATAAATATTATGATTTTTAGGAATTTCACTTCATTCAGGAATAGTCTTGTAGATTATTGTTTAAAGATAAGATAGCTGTTATTATCAAATAGCAAATTCACTGTTGCTAAAGTGTATCTATCCTTTGCGGAAAAACTTTCTCTCAGGTTCCCGGTAGTGATAGAGTGGATGATGGAGGGTCAACAAGACCTGAGGCAGAGATCAAGTTACAACACCTTCTTCTCAAGTCTTTACTCAAGGTTTGTAGTTAAAATGCTTAGTCTTACTTTAGTTGAAAGTTAGCTACTTAACCCTGAATCTCAGCTTAGCTCTGTAGCATCCTCTGATACGTGTAAATGTTTCATCTAATGTGTGTAAATAAATGTCCAAGTTTATTTGGTTCTTATGTTTAGTTAGTAATGTGGGAAAGTGATTTTTCTCATATTTTAAACTCATTAAAAACATGACTTTTTACTGGTTTTAGGTTGGTACCAAGTATACAACAGAGCAGTACTCAAAGACATTTGCCCAGTCGTTCTTAGTGCGTCTGATGCGACTGTCGGTGTCGAGCGACCCAGAAGTGCGTCTTACTGTTCAGCAGATCTTACACACACTCATTGATAGACACCAAAATATTGAGAAACTCACCAAACCCACGTAAGCTCCTCTTTTTTTTTTTCCTTCCTTTTTTTACTTCGTAATGAGAGAGTTGCCCACTCAATAAAGCTTGGCAAGAAGGAAAAAATGCCAGCTATTGTCCAAATGGTATTTCCTGAAGGACTGGAGATCAAAGGTGTCAGATGATATAGGGAGGTGATTTGTTCCGAAAAGTACCTGTGGGTTAGAACAATTAATAGCATGGGGTTTATTCCAATTTGAGCAAGTCTAAAAGAAACTTTTGGGTGACCATATATAAAGAGAAATTATAAAACTCAAGTTCATGAGATAGATACAGAACCATGGAAGTACAGTAGAAAAGAGAGTGGTGGGAAGAGAGAGAGAGAAAGTGTAGTTTCTTCGTGGGAAGCTGAGGGTTTAAGATTTGATGTGAAGTAAAGTGTACTAATGAGATGATTAGCTTTTGGTAACTGTTACTTTTAGATGTGTAATCTCAAGCCAGACTAGAGCATTTAGATTGGTTCAGAGTATTGGAAAATTCCACTGTTGTCAATAATTTCTGAAATGAAATTAATACTTGTTGAGAAATTGTAACAGGTTGCTGTTATTGTTGTAATATGATGACCAAGGCATCAGGCGAACATTCTGCACTAATACTGTGCTTGTGCTTCAATACTAAAAGATGAGACTTGAGTGTAAGTGAACTTATAAGGAGAAAATCTACAAGTGCCTTTTGGCTTTGCACTTGATAAATAATAAATCTGCTGCAAAATATATAAAGGAGGGCTCTACATATACAGCACCTCTCTTCAGTGTTCTATGTTTTCATTGGCTTTCAATTGAGCCATTGTTCCACCCACGGATGACAGTCACTGGCAGGTGGAGCATAATGAACAATGACTCAATTTGAAGCCAGTGAAAACGTGGAACACCGAAAAGAAGGTGGTGTATAAGTGGGGTCTTATATGCTTGATAAACCCTGATCATTAATAGAAATCAAATGAAATGTTCTACTCACTAATAGTGTCCCTTTCCTTGTGTCTCTTACAGTCTGGAGGTGACACGCCTGGGACTCACACTTGGGAAGCCTGTGCGGCAAGATGTGAACTTCTGGAAGAAGTCTGGCAATGAACTCTTGTTATCAATCCAGGAGAACTGCGAGTTTGCCAACAACACGCTGGCCAACATAGAGGCACTGTATGCCACTCTGATGCTCCTTCTGACAGAGATCCGCTGTGATGATGTCATAGTTGACATCCTAAGAGTTCTGTTCCACATACAGGTTGAGTATTGTTCTCAGTATGTGATAAATATTGATGAGTTTCTCCAACATTTTTAATCATCATCATGCAGTGTTCTATTCAAAAGGCACAGAATTAAGTATAGTATACAGTTGTATCTCGAGCTTAGGACATAGTGGGTTTCCAGAAAATGAATTTTAAGTTGAGAAGTCATGGGTAGAGTTCATTATTACTGTATGTATAGTATTACATTTCTGTTTTGGTATACAGCCTCTCCTCACTTAACGATGGAGTTCTGTTCCTAAGACCGTGTTGGTAAACAAATTCGTCACTAAAGGAGGAGCATATTAGTAGTAGTGGGTTTGTGTTGGCCATCTTTGATTTTGTTTTAATGCCACTTTTCCACCATTTATAACATTTTTAGTATGTTTTTAAATATTTATACAGTAGTGTACTGTATACTGTAATAAACAGAATACAGTGGACCCCCGCATAACGATATTAATCCGTTCCTGAGAGCTCATTGTTATGCGAAATTATCGTTATGCGAATGAATTTTCCCCATAAGAAATAATGGAAATCAAATTAATCTGTGCAAGACACCCCAAAGTATGAAAAAAAAAATTTTACCACATGAAATATTAATTTTAATACACACAAACTGAAAAAGGCATGCACAATTACATGACACTTACCTTTATTGAAGATCTGGTGATGATTGATGGGATGGGAGGAGGAGAGAGTCTTAGTGTTTAGAAGGGGAATCCCCTTCCATTAAGACTTTAGGTGTCAAGTCCTTTTCTGGGGCTACTTCCCTTCTTCTTTTAATGCCACTAGGACCAGCTTCAGAGTCACTGGACTTCTGCCGCACAACATATCTGTCCATAGTGGCCTGTACCTCTCGTTCCTTTATGACTTCCCTAAAGTGTTTCACAACATTGTCAGTGTAATAGTCACCAGCACGGCTTGCAATAGCTGTGTGAGGGTGATTTTCATCCATAAAGGTTTGCACTTTCAGCCACATTGCACAGATTTCCTTAATCTTTGTAGTAGGCAACTTCTTCAATTTCTCTCTCCTCTCCTCCGAACCAGTTTCCTCAGGTCTGGCCTCTTGCTGTTGAAGTTGATCTAGCAGCTCATCAGTGGTTAGTTCTTCATTGTCCTCCTCCACCAACTCTTCCACATCATCCCCACTAACCTCCAATCCCAAGGACTTTCCCAATGCCACAATGGATTCCTCAACTGGCATACTCCTCTCAGGGTTAGCCTGAAACCCTTCAAAATCCCTTTGGTCTACACATTCTGGCCACAGTTTCTTCCAAGCAGAGTTCAAGGTCCTCTTAGTCACTCCCTCCCAAGCCTTACCTATAAGGTTTACACAATTGAGGATATTAAAGTGCTCTCTCCAAAACTCTCTTAGAGTCAGTTGAGTTTCTGAGGTCACTACAAAGCACCTTTCAAACAGAGCTTTTGTGTACAGTTTTTTGAAGTTTGCAATAACCTGCTGGTCCATGGGCTGCAGGAGAGGAGTGGTATTAGGAGGCAAAAACTTCACCTTAATGAAGCTCATGTCCCCATAAAGTCGCTCTGCCACGTCTGTAGGATGACCAGGGGCATTGTCTAACACCAGGAGGCACTTAAGGTCTAATTTCTTTTCAGTTAGGTAATCTTTCACATTGGGGGCAAATGCATGGTGTAACCAGTCATAGAAAAAGTCCCTAGTGACCCATGCCTTACTGTTTGCCCTCCTCAGCACACACAAATTAGCCTTGAGGATATTCTTTTGCCTGAACGCTCTGGGAGTTTCTGAGTGATACACTAATAAAGGCTTCACCTTGCAATCACCACTAGCATTGGCACACATCAACAGAGTAAGCCTGTCTTTCATAGGCTTATGTCCTGGGAGTGCCTTTTCCTCCTGAGTAATGTACGTCCTGCTTGGCATTTTCTTCCAAAACAGGCCTGTTTCATCACAATTAAACACTTGTTCAGGTTTCAGTCCTTCACTGTCTATGTACTCCTTGAATTCCTGCACGTATTTTTCAGCTGCTTTGTGGTCCGAACTGGCAGCCTCACCATGCCTTATCACACTATGTATGCCACTACGCTTCTTAAATCTCTCAAACCAACCTTTGCTGGCCTTAAATTCACTCACATCATCACTAGTTGCAGGCATTTTTTTAATTAAATCCTCATGCAACTTCCTAGCCTTTTCACTTATGATCTGTTATGCTGTCTGTTTTTCATTTATCCATACCAATAAGAGTCTCTCAACATCTTCCATCACTTGCGATCTCTGTTTCGAAAACACAGTTGAACCTTTGGCAAGAACAGCTTCCTTGATTGCCGTTTTGTTGCCCACAATAGTAGCGATGGTTGATTGGGGTTTATTATACAACCTGGCCAGCTCGGAGACACGCACTCCACTTTCATACTTATCAATGATCTCTTTCTTCATCTCTATAGTAATTCTCACCCTTATTGCTGTAGGGTTGGCACTAGAAGCTTTCTTGGGGCCCACGGTCACTTATTTTGCAGATAAAATCACCAAAAACACTGTAATAATACGAAATGTTCCGATTGTATGCTTGGATGTTACCGCGGAGGCTGGCTGGTAAACAATGCCACCGGCGGAACATGTGAGGCTGGCTCAGGCCGCACATTAGATGCGTCTCGGACGAAAAGCGTTGAGCGGGTTTTTTAGCGGTATGCGAGGCAAAATCTTAGCGATAAAATGTATCGGTATGCGGATTTAACGTTATGTAAGGCCAACGGTATGCGGGGGTCCACTGTATAGGAAATCAGCTCTAATATACATTATTTAGGTATGCATACTGGTCAGAGAGCCTGTTGTAAGTCATTGGTAAACGAGTACGTGTCTAAGTGAAGCGAGGCTGTACAGTAATTCTATAGGTTTTGTTGTAACATCAATAAAAGAATGTCAAGTAACATATTGAGAATAAGTAAGTTTATTATAAAAAAATTTCCATGGATCATTGAACCGAGATTCCAGCTACCAGAGCATTATAACAATGTTGTTAAAAGTCACAGTTCAAGAAGAGCATTACAACAGAGATCATTAAGAATTGCTATTTGATCTGCCAGAATATTTGCAAACTCTAAAAACATTTAAGTTAATATTTTATCAAAATTAAGGTCACCCCGCCTTGGTGGGAAATGGCCGATGTGCTAAAAAAAAAAGAGAGAGAGGGAGTGTGAGAGAGAGAATATGAGAGAGAGAGAATATGAGAGAGAGAGAATATGAGAGAGAGAGAATATGAGAGAGAGAGAATATGAGAGAGAGAGAATATGAGAGAGAGAGAATATGAGAGAGAGTGAGAGTGTGAGAGTAGAAAGTAGAGTAAGAATGTGAGAGTAAGAATGTGAGAGTAAGAATGTGAGAGTAAGAATGTGAGAGTAAGAATGTGAGAGTAAGAATGTGAGAGTAAGAATGTGAGTAGAAGTAGAGTAATGATGAGAGTAAGAATGTGAGAGTAAGAATGTGAGAGTAAGAATGTGAGAGTAAGAATGTGAGAGTAAGAATGTGAGAGTAAGAATGTGAGAGTAAGAATGTGAGAGTAAGAATGTGAGAGTAAGAATGTGAGAGTAAGAATGTGAGAGTAAGAATGTGAGAGTAAGAATGTGAGAGTAAGAATGTGAGAGTAAGAATGTGAGAGTAAGAATGTGAGAGTAAGAATGTGAGAGTAAGAATGTGAGAGTAAGAATGTGAGAGTAAGAATGTGAGAGTAAGAATGTGAGAGTAAGAATGTGAGAGTAAGAATGTGAGAGTAAGAATGTGAGAGTAAGAATGTGAGAGTAAGAATGTGAGAGTAAGAATGTAGAGTGAGAATGTGAGAGTGAGAATGTGAGAGTGAGAATGTGAAGTGAGATATGTGAGAGTGAGAATGGAGAGTGAGAATGTAGGAATGTGAAGTGAGAATGTGAGAGTGAGAATGTGAGAGTGAGAATGTGAGAGTGAGAATGTGAGAGTGAGAATTGGAGTGAGAATGTAGTGAGAATGTGAGAGTGAGATGTGAGAGTGAGAATGTGAGAGTGAGATGTGAGAGTGAGAATGTGAGAGTGAGAATGTGAGAGTGAGAATGTGAGAGTGAGAATGTGAGAGTGAGAATGTGAGAGTGGAATGTGAGAGTGAGAATGTGAGAGTGAGAATGTGAGAGTGAGAATTGAGTGTGAAATTGAGAGTGAGAATGTGAGAGTGAGAATGTGAGAGTGAGAATGTGAGAGTGAGAATGTGAGAGTGAGAATGTGAGAGTGAGAATGTGAGAGTGAGAATGTGAGAGTGAGAATGTGAGAGTGAGAATGTGAGAGTGAGAATGTGAGAGTGAGAATGTGAGTGAGATGTGAGAGTGGAATGTGAGAGTGAGAATGTGAGAGTGAGAATGTGAAGTGAGAATGTGAGAGTGAGATGTGAGAGTGGAATGTGAGAGTGAGAATGTGAGAGTGAGAATGTGAGAGTGAGAATGTGAGAGTGATGTGAGAGTGAGTGATGTGAGAGTGAGATGTGAGAGTGAGAATGTGAGAGTGAGAATGTGAGAGTGAGATGTGAGAGTGAGAATGTGAGAGTGAGAAAGGTGGATGTGAGAGTGAGATGTGAGGTGAGAGGAATGAGATGTGAGATTGAGATGTGAGAGTGAGGATGTGAGAGTGAGGATGTGAGAGTGAGTGTGAGAGTGAGGAGAGTGAGGTAATGGAGAGTGAGGTATGGTGGAGTGAGGATGGAGGTGAGATGGGAGAGTGAGGATGGGAGAGTGAGGATGGTAGGAGTGAGGTTGGGATAATGAGATGGAGTGAGGTTGAGAGTGAGATGTGGAGGTGAGATGGGTAGGTGAGAATGGGAGTGAGATGGGAGTTATGTGGGATTTGATGTGATGATGAGGTTGATTGGGAGAATGGATGAGATTGAGAGAATGTGAGAATGTGAGAATGTGAGAATGTGAGAGTGTGTGAGTGAGTAAGACAGCATAATGCCTTGGCTGGAACAATACACAAATGTCCTGAATGTGGGAGAGTGAAACTTATAATAAAGTTTCTGTCCAATGACAGTGTTGTCATAAGTTTATCTCCTATGTCTGGGTTATTTATTCACTACACTTATAGAACACCTGCCTTCAATTTCTTCGCTTTATGATTTGGCATTTTTGTAGCATACTGCTACAGGCATTTTGCTAGAATGGGGTGTTACTGATTAGTGTCCTAATAAAAACTTGCAGCCTGAATCCATGTTATGAGAGGAATTTCTCTGTACCTTTGATCTCCTTACATTGTTTTTTAATTTCTATCACGTATTTTTTTTAACACACTGGCTGTCTCCCACTGAGGTAGGGTGACTTGAAAAAGAAAGAGATTTTTCTTCTTATTTTACATTTAGTAATTTATGCAGAAGGGGTTACTAGCTTCTTGCTCCTGGCATTTTAGTTGCCCCTCTCAGCATGCATGGCTTATGGAGGAAGGATTCTTCTCTACTTCCCCATAGAGGATTTTTTTTTTTTTTTTTTTTAATATGCTGGCCATTTCCCACCGAAGCAGAGTAACCAAACAAGGAAAAATTTGCCCATCATTCACACACACACAGTCTTGCCAGAGGCAAGCAGATACGACAGTATAGATTTCACTCTAAACAGCAAATACAGTGGACCCCCGGTTCGCGAAGTCATCGGTATCCGATAAATCCGGTATCCGAAGCATTATATCGCAAAAAATTTGCCTCAGTTCCCGTTACAAAACCCGGTATGCGATATGATTCGTATGAGAGGTGTCCATGTGTGGCCTGAACTGCCCCGTGTATGCCAGTGTTTACAAGCCAGCCAGTGTGCGCGCATCTAAGGATACATTCGGTACATTCCATATTATCACTGTTTTTGGTGCTTGTTTCTGCAAAATAAGTCACCATGGGCCCCAAGAAAGCTTCTAGTGCCAACCCTATGGTAAAAAGGGTGAGAATTAGTATGGAAATTAAGAAAGATTTTGAATGGTTTGGGGCTAACCCTGAGAAGACTATGCCAGTTGTGGAATCCATTGTGCCTACTTCAAAAATTAAGGAAATGTGTGCACAGTGAGTTGAACTGCAAACCTTTATGGATGAAAGTCACCCTAACACAGCTATTGCAAGCCGTGCTGGTGACTATTACACTGACAATGTTGTGAACCACTTTAGGAAAGTCATAAAGGAACGAGAGGTACAGGCCTCTATGGACAGATATGTTGTGCAACAGAAGTCCAGTGACTCTCAAGCTGGTCCTAGTGGCATTAAAAGAAGAAGGGAAGTAACCCCGGAAAAGGACTTGCTACCTCAAGTCCTAATGGAGGGGGATTCCCCTTCTAAACATTAAAAACTTTGACACTCTCCCCTCCTCCCATCCCATTAGTCATCACCAAATCTTCATTAAAGGTAAGTGTCAATTATTCCATTGTGATTATTCTATTGTTATTATTGTTATTGTAATTATTCTATTGCATTAAACTTAATATTTCATGTGGTAAAATTTTTTTTTTTTCATACTTTTGGGTGTCTTGCATGGATTAATTTGATTTCCATTATTTCTTATGGGGAAAATTGATTCACTTTCCGATAATTTTGCTTTACGATGAGTTCTCAGGAACGGATTAATAACGTGAACCGGGGGTCCACTGTATCCCAAACTCCACCTTTAGAGTGCAGGTATTGTACTTCCCACCTCTCGAACTCTAGTCCAGGTAACTGGTTTTCCTGAATTTCTTCACAAAATATTACCCTACTCACACTCCAACAGCTTGTTAAGTTTCAAAAACCATTCATCTCCATTCACTCTTATCTAACCCACTCACACATGCCTGCAGTATGTTCAAGCCCCTATTTATGAACTATAAAATCTTATACAAGATTTCAGTTACGTCTTGCTACTTCTACTTGCATTTAGGTCACACTACACTTGGATGTACAAGCATATATATACAAACACCCCTCTGGATTTTCTTCTATTTTCTTACTACTTGTTCGTGTTTATTTCCTCTTATCTTCATGGGGAAGTGGAACAGAATTCTTCCTCCGTAAGCTATGTGTGTTGCAAGAGGCGACTGAAATGCCAGGAGCAAGTGGCTAGTAACCCCTTCTCCTGTATACATTACTAAAGTTAAAAAGAGAAACTTGTTTTTCTTTTTGGGCCACCCTGCTTTGGTGGGATACTGCCAGTTTGTTGAAAGAAAGAAAGAAAAAAATATTTTAATGAGAATCAGTAAATACTGTACTTAGTTTGCCCTGTTATGTATATAAAGGAAGTTCTGAACAGATTAAGTGTGTGTTTAGGTATATTTATGTGGATCTGCAAATTTTCAGGGGCTGGCACAGGGAGGAGCAGTGAGTGCCGTAGCTGCCATACAGCTACACACACTGGTTGCCTCAGTCATGGTGGTTATCTCTCACCTGGTCACTACTCTAAAGGAACATGTGTCTGCAGTCATCAAGCACAGGTCTTTACCCAGCAGATTTTTTTTGTACCTCTTGTTTATATAATGTAGATTATTTAATGAAAAGAAATATATGTTTTCCTGAGTGTTTACATGCATGCTCAAGTTTATATAGTCACCTGCTTTTATTTGAAAGAGTTCCATTAACGAAGTTTTGGTTAAAGTCTTCACTAAAGAGATAGCATGTTTACTCCGTAATTAAAAATTTTTGCTCTTTTGACAGTCTACATTGATAACTTAATTGATAACCCTTCAGTATTTTGTTTTTCCCTCCATATCTACTCTCCTCTTGCAATCTGTATAGTCAATCTCATACAGTGTTTCCTCGCAGATATTTTCTCTTTTATATCATTTCCATTTTTAAATTATTGCCGTTTGAGTTTCTTTTTAAAAACTCGCTATTAACTAGCATTCCTGTGCTCCATAATTGATTTTCTTAGATTTTTTGCTTTAATGCTGTATCTAACACTAGCCTTAGTACATCTTCATATGTTTCCTAATGTATTGTACATAATGGTGATTTTTCAAATTGGTTTCAAGTCTGTTTATTCCCCCCTCATAAGCAAGTGAAACAAGAAATATATGTTTAAGATATAGAGAACATTGTCAGTCATATTGCTATTTACCATAAGCTTTTGTAGTTTACATACATATATCCTAAGTTGTATAGATTTAGAAAGCTATATATATATATATTTTCATTACCTGTGAAAATAATTAGTATATTCATAGGAAAAACATCCCAGAAATGCTGTTAAGGATTATTTATAATAATGCTTATAACATAATATCCTTGAGCAAAGTAGACTCATTTATTTTTTTTTAATACCTTTATTCCAAAAATTGAGACTCAGAGCATCTAAAAATTATGGGTTGGTTGATGAACACCTTTGGTTGATTTCACAGATCAGACAAGGCCCCACATCTACTGCCAGAGTTGTTGTCTCACTATGATTCCAGCTTGCTTCACAGCAGCTTACCACAGGAACTGCTCTTTGACAATGCCAAAGTTCTGGATCTTCTCACAGGCACCAAGTAAATGCACTGTTGTATTGTAGGATTTTGTTCATTTGAATAATTACTACTATTATAATTTATAGTGTGCTCTTTTAAGTAATAGATTTTAATATGCATTGCTGTAATACAGTGACTGGTAGTGAACCTGATTTCAGTTTTGATTAGCATTATAGCTCAGTTGAGGAAGGATTGAAATTTCATCTACTGCCATCATCAGCTTTTACCTGGAGTCAACAGATTGTTCCATGAAAAGTTATGCATCATGCTGGTAATAAGGAACAAAGTCTGTTCATTTTCTCACTGTATGAATAAACCTTTGCTTAGAATAAAGCCTAAGACATTTCGGGTTACTTGCACCTGTACCTGACCCACCATATACTTGCATCTATGTATGGCAAGAATGAAAGACATTGTAGATTAAGTAGAATATACATATAATTTAAGAATGTTTCACATCCTCAGTCTGGATGAGAAGCGTCTAAATGCCAGCGTCTCAAGCATCATGCGGCGGCAATCCACCGCACAACACACCTCTTCTGCCATGGATATCAACTCAATCAGTGTCGAGGTGGACAGTGCTTGTTCCTCTCCAGGACTTCCCAGGGTAAGTTTAAAATCACTTCTTATATCTTCCATGCAAATAGGGGGCAGACTCGTGTAACATTTTCACTAGCCATGTCAACCTCCTTGAATAGAAAATGTGAGAGAGCTTTCGAAGCCTTTCCGTGTAGTTTTGCTTACAGTTATTGCTCTGTGCAAATGTGTTTCTTTAGCAAGTATATACCAGTGGACAGTTATAAGAATGAAACACGAAGACATTGATAAGAACAAGCAAGGAAAAATCCAAAATTCAGAGATTGGGTGCACAGTAAGAATTAAAAATAACATTTTGTTGGTTAAGGAAATAAAAAAAAGTGGCAATGTGAATGCAGCCCTGAAACAGTGTATAAAATAGACACTTATTAGATGTGTTTCACTGAGAGAGCTTTGTGGATTAATAAAGTTCCAGGTGAGCGAAATGCATTGAAATAAAAGTTTCTTAACATTGCACATGTGTCTGTTTTATGCATTTGTTTGTATTATATACCCTGTGTGATAGAGTCAGTGGTTGCACCTTCATATGTGATGTTAGATATTCAGTCTGCTGTCTGATACTTGTAAGTAAACTTGGTGAAGAATTAGACATGTGCAACATCTGGGCATCTTCATTTGTAGATGTGTAATTCTTGATATTGTGAGTATCGTATACCATTCATATACCAATAATCTAGGTAAAAAAGAAAAAAAGAGTAAACCATTATATGATTCTTTCAGCGGTCACTGGAAGAAGAAATCACTTTTGAGTCTCTGAAAAAGGTGCTAACTGAGAGTCCAGAGCAGAAGAGGAAGGCAGAGGAGGAGCGACGCAAACAGATCACAGAAGCTTTCATGACTGAATCTTTTGAGGCCTTGGTGGCAAAGATTCAGGCAAAGGTTAGTTATGCTCTGTTGTATTATATTCTATATGCTTCTTCTTTTACCTCATCAGCTGCCTCTCACCAATGTAGGGCGACCCTAAAAGAAAAATTACATTCACGACTATTCATTAAATACGTAGTTGTCTAGTCAGATGTGTGCAGATATGATAATTCAAATGAGGTTTCAGACTGTGACATCCCCACCTCTCCTTCATAGTGCAAGCACTATGTTTCCCACCTCCATGACTCGAGTTAGGCTAACCAATTCCCTGAATCCTTTCATAAGTGTTACCTTCCTGCCACTCTCAGCACAAGAAGCCACAAAAACCATTTGTCCCCAATCACTAAGATCTATCATGCTCACACAAGCCAGCTGCTCAATCCCCTAGCACTCAAAGCCTCCTGCACCAGCTCCCTCCAACTCTCCTTTCATATTGAATATATTAATGACAGGAAGGAAATATTAAGTAATGCATATCTTTTTTTTTACAGCAACCAGATACTCTTCAGAATAAACTCACCGAGATCTTCAACCGGCTTCCTCCCTCCTGTCCACCAGCGCAGACAACCACAGCCATGTCTTGTGATACTGCTGCTGGACTCACCTCAACAACTTCTAACTATCAGTTGCCATATCCTGATATATATATTTACTAATCCTTCATGTCTTTCTTGAAGCTGTATTGCTTTTGAGAAAATTATTTGTACAAATTTTTGAAGGTTAACAATTGTGATAGTCTTAAATATTGAATTTTCAAAGATCGATAATAGGGTAGTCTTAAGTGTATGTTATTAATGATAACCATTTGTTCGTAATTATGAGCAGCTATGTTAAGAATTTTGTTGCTCAGTTGTATATTGAATTTCTGTGCTAATATTGTATACAAGACACTGTTGTAAGGCTGTCAGTGTGTGCATTTACATAGTAAACTATAAAAGATAGACTTGAATTTCCACTGGTGCATGTAGTATTATTCTGCTGACAGAAAACATTCAGAGCAGTCATGCATTTTTTTAATATTACATACAATTTTTTTTATAGAAAAATATATACTGTACTTTATCACAAAATGTAAACTGAATAATAAGTCACAATGTTATGAACTGAACATTTCCTAACAAATCCACAAATTTGAAATGAAAGCTGAGAGGCCTTTCAGTCCACCTTGAACCATCATCAGGTTGCAAATATGTTAGAAAAGATAAAAAGCCAGATATGGATGAACCCATTCTCATACCATTAGTAATATGTGTGTGGATTTGAATGTTTCTTTGTACTATATTTAATTGCTGAATGTGTTTTTATAGATTTATGTTGCCTATTCTAATCTAAATTAAAGTATAGTAAGCAGTACAATATTTGTAGGTTTACAAGAGGCACTAGAAATTGACAGTTTGAGAATTGTATAAGAAGTTTAAAATTCCCATTTTCCACATATACCTCAATCTTTTCTCTAATTCTGTGCATTTCTAGAGTACTGATACAGGGTCTTCAGTCTATCCTCGTAGGAAGATTAATACGGTATAGTAAATGAGAATGGGTTGGACAACTAGCGTCAGGTCAAGTCACGTGTGTTCTGAAGAGCTTTCAAGTTTGTGGGTTTTAGAAGCTCTCTAAAAGCTTGAATGTGCATTCATTCATTAAGTAACCAAAGTTATTTCTTGTATTATGCAAGTGTTCATTTCCATTGTGTATTTTTTTTTTTTTTTTTACACGTCGGCCATTTCTCACCGAGACAGGTGACACAAAAAGAAAGAAAAACCCAAAAAGAAAGAAAAAACTTTCATCATCATTCAACATTTTCACCATCACTCATACATAATCACTGTCTTTGCAGATGAGCTCAGATACGACAGTTTAGATGTTCCTCCAAACTGCCAATATTCTAAACCCCTCCTTTACAGTGCAGGCATTGTACTTCCCATTTCCAGGACTCAAGTCCTGTTAACTGCTTTTCCTGAATCCCTACACTAAATATTACCCTTCTTACACTCCAACAGCTCGTCAGGTCCCAAAAACCATTCGCCTCCATTCACTCCTATCTAACACACACACGCACGATTGCTGGAAGTCCAAGCCCCTCCCCCACAAAACCTTTACCCTCTCCCTCTGACCTTTACAGGGACAATCCCTACCCCGCCATCCTTCCCCAGCAGATTTATACACTCTCCAAGTCATTCTACTTTGTTCCATTCTCTGTAAATGATCAAACCACCTCAACAGCTCCTCTTTTAGTAACTCCACACCACCACCTAATTTCCACACTACGAATTCTCTGCATAATATTTACACTGCACATTGCCCTTAGACACAACATCTCCACTGCCTCCAGCCGCCTCCTTGCTGCAGCATTTACAACCCATGCTTCACACCCATATAAGAGTGTTGGTACTATACTCTTGTACATTCCCTTCTTTGCCTCCATGGCTAACGTTCTTTGTCTCCATAGATACTTCAAAGCACCACTTGCCTTTTTTCCTTCATCAATTCTGTGGTTTACCTCATCCTTCATAAACCCACCTGCTGACAAGTCAACTCCCAAATATCTGAAAACATTCACTTCTTCCATACTCCCTCCCTCCAATGTGATATCTAATTTTTCTTTATCTAAATCATTTGATATCTGCATCATCTTACTCTTATCTATATTTACTTTCAACTTTCTACCTTTACACACCCTCCCAAACTCGTCCACTAACCTTTGCAACTTTTCTCAAGAGTCCTCCAGAAGCACAGTATCATCAGCAAAAAGTAACTGTGTCAACTCCCATTTTGTATTTGATTCCTCATAATTTAATTCCACCCCTGTCCCCAACAACCTAGCATTTACTTCTTTTACAACCCCATCCATAAATATGTTCAGCAACCATTGTGACATTACACATCCCTGTCTAAGACCTACTTTTACTGAGAAGTAATTACCTTCTCTCCTACACACCCTAACCTGAGCCTCACTATCCTCATAAAAACTTTACAGCATTTAGTAACTTGCTACCTATTCTATACATTTGCAACATCTGCCACATTGCTCCCCTATCCACTCTATCATATGCCTTTTCTAAATCCGTAAATGCAATAAAAACTTCCCTACCTTTATCTAAATACTGTTTACATATATGATTCGATGTAAACACCTGATCTACACATCACTTACCCATTTTAATGTCTCCTTGCTCATTTGCAGTCCTGCTCTCTGTCTTACCCCTAGTTCTTTCAATAATAACCCTACCATACACTTTACCTGGTATACTAAGTAAACTACTACTATCAACACACCGGCCGTATCCCACCTAGGCATGGTGACCCCCCCCAAAAAAAAAAATACTCTTTATTCTGTAAACTTATTCCCCTATAATTTTTAGTCTCTCTTGTCCCCCTTCCCTTTATATAAAGGAATTATACGTGCTCTCTGCCAATCCCTAGGTACCTTCCCCTCTTTCATACATTTATTAAAAAATACCAACCGCTCCAACAGTATATCTCTCTCCCTGCTTTTAACATTTCTGTCATGATCCCATCAGTTCCAGCTGCTTTATTCACTTTCATTCTATGCAATGCCTCATGCACCTCCCCCACACTCACATCCTGCTCTTCTTCACTCCTAAAAGATGTGTATTTTGGATATATTTCTGAAGCTGTTGGAAGATACATTCCTCATGGTAAAATTTTTGACTCATGAATGAGGGAATTTATTATTGGTAATATTTCTGATGTGACTGGAAGAAATGTTCTTCAGTGGTGATAGAAGTTTTGACTTATGAATGAGTAATTATATATGCTTATTGAGGCTAGAGGTATACAACACATGGCTTCTGTGTCTCGGTATAAATATCTTTTAAAGAAATTGTATTTGGCATTGTATAAAATAAAATTTAATATTGCCAAAAATTAAAAGATTTCTTCCAGATGGTGTTTGTATAAAAATAAATAATTTCTGTAGTAGTAGTAGTAGTATCACCACTCACATGGAACTGTTAATACATTCAACATTCACCTAAATTTTGAAAAAAAGCAAGAAGAAAAATTTACAATTACAATTTTTCAAAATATCTAATTTGAAATTTTTTAAATAAGATGGACTCTTTCTAAAAGCTTGATTTACAAAATGAATCAAATTCTAAATTTTTCACTTACTATTTTGTATGAAGGAACATTCCAAATTTCAATTTGATCTCTAAAATTCAAGATTTTCTGTAAAATAGTAACCTCATATTTTAAAATCCTGGCTTTAACAGTGCAGTCAGTATTTTCATGGTGAAGGAACTTTATCATGGCTTAATCCAGGTATATGATATATATTTGTTATGGCTGCAGTTTCTATATGTGGTGGTATATCTTTTCAAGGTAGGTTAAAGGGATTTGATCCAAGAAATTGGTACTAATGCTCCATTCTTATTCCCAGGTGTTGTATAATTCCTACAGGTTTGGTGCTTTCTTTTGAATGTATTAATTTTTTTTAACTGGTCATTTCCCACCAAGGCAAGGTGACCCCCCCCCCCAAAAAAAAAAAAAAAAAAATAAAAGAAACACTTTCATGATGGTGAAAGTTTTTCTTTTTCGGGCCACCCTGTCTTGGTGGGAATCAGCCAGTGTGATAATAATAATAATAAAAAACTTTCATCATCACTCACTCCATCACTGTCTTGCCGGAGGTTTGCCGATACTGCAGTTCAAAAACTGCAATGTATCTCCACCCCTCCTTCAGAATACAGTCATACCCTGCCCTTTGTCATTAATTAGTTCCAAGAGCTGTGATGTAACCTAGTTTTTGATGTAAACTGGACATAATGCCTTAAAATGATGACAAACACTGTAAAACTAGCATAAATAACTCGTGAAAGAATATAACTACTATTGCTAAACCTTAAAAAACACTAAAAGCATATTTTAGTCATTTTTTTTTTTAAGAGTAATGAAAATAATGGAGGTATAATATCTTGGCCTAGGCCCACTCCTTAGGCCTCTGAGGCAATCTATCATTTTTCCTTAAGAACTTCTTAACTGAAAGACATTTCCGTGTTCGTGTTAATAATGTGCTTTCCCTGGACTTTGTCCAAGCTGAAGGTGTCCCTCAGGGATGTGTTCTGAGCACAACACTTTTTCTCCTTGCTATAAATGATCTGGCCTTTGTTCTTCCATCCAGTATTTTGTCATCGCTCTGTGTTGATGTCTTCACTATAGCTTGTGAAGGCACTGACTGTCACCTCATTGCAGTTTCTCTCCAGCATGCAGTCAACCATCTTTCCAGTTGGGCCACCACTCATGGGTTTCAATTTTCTAGCTCTAAAACTCACCAAATTACTTTCACTAGGCTCTCTGTCATCTCTGATCATCCATTGTATCTATATGGCTTGTGTATCCCAGAATGTGATATGGTCAGGTTTCTTGGCCTTCTGTTTGACCATAGGTTGTCCTGGGAACCTCACATTACCTCTCTGAAGGCAATTTGCGATAGCCGGCTGAACCTCTTAACACCCTCGCTCATCTTTCATGGGGGGCTGATCGTAGAACTCTCCTTCGACTACATTTAGCCATAATTTTATTGAAAATCGATTATGGCGACCAGATAGATTCAGTGGCCTCTCCTGCAACTCTCTCTAGGTTTAATCCCATCCATCACCAAGGATTACATTTATGCCTCGGTGCTTTTCACTCTTTGCCAGTTGAGAGCCTCTTTGTAGAGGTGAATATTCCATCCTTGTCCGATCGCCATGATGCTCATTGCTTTCACTATTATGTTTGATTTCATGACCTCCGCAATCCTTCCATACACAGGATAGTCACTGGTGTTAGTAGACGTTCTTTATTCGTTCATTGCCCCTGTTTACTCCATTCCTTTTCTCTTTGCGTACATTCACTTTTGTCTTCTCTTCAGTTACCACCTTTGTGTTCATGTAGCATCTCACTTTTTCCTACCCCCTTGAGAAGTTCTGACGGTTCGTGTCTGTTCTTTCCCACTACCATGTGCGAAACCCCACCTGCCTACGGTGGCTTCTTGCTCTCTTTTTCTTAACCACTTCTGATCTCATTCTCATGCCATCGCAGTGTACACCAATGGTTCCAAGTCTTCTGATGGCATCAGATTCGCAGAGGTGTTTCTGGACAGTGTTGCGCGAGGGCATCTATTATCCCCGGCTAGTATTTTTACGGCTGAATTTTATGCCATTCTCATAGCACTTATCTGTCTTGCATCTATGCCTGTGTCACAATTTGTGGTAGTTTCAGACTCCCTTAGTGCTTTACAGGTTATACAAAAATTTGATACACCTCATTCCCTGGTCCTTCATATCCAGCTTTGGTTATGCCGTGTCTCTAGCAAGCACACATATTTTTTTGTTGGGTCCCCGGTCATGTTGACATACAGGTCAATGATCAGGCAGACACCACTGCGCGGTCAGCAGTACATGACCTCCCAGTTTCATATAGAGGTGTTCCATTCACAGACTATTTTGCTGTAATTGCTACCCACCTTCGCACCCGTTGGCAACAACGTTGGTCTGATATGCTCTATAATAAACTACATTCTATTAAACCGAGTATAGGTTTCTGGTCGTCTTCGTATCATCAATGTCAAGGTTGGGAGACTACTCTCTTCTGTCTTCGCATTGGCCACACTCGTTTTACTCATGGGTATCTCATGGAGAGGCACCCTGTTCCACTCTGTGAGAATTGTCAGGTTCCAGTTTCTGTTAGCCACATTCTGTTGGACTGCCCACTCTATCAACGAGCACTATCCACTGCCTCACTGCACTCCATGACCTAATAATCATCCCTCTCCCTCTTGCTACCCATTACCCCTGCATCCTTCCCAGCCTGGTGGTGTTGTATGACCCTTGTAGGTTTAGCGCTTCTTTTTGATTATAATAATAATGAAAACTAAAAAATTATGATGTAGGTGATGTTGCTGCCTGACTTAAAGTTGGACATAATGACACTTGCTGAACTGAAATTTTCTCTAGAAAAGTGGCGTAAGGCAAATTTGATGTAGGTTAAAATGACATAAAGTGGGGGTATGACTGTAATAATAATTATGAGATATATTTTGATGCAGTTATCAGATGAGCTCAGAATTAGTTGCTTTTACTCCCGGTCAACACTGCCTATAAAATACAACTTTATATGATCTCGTTTAAAAACACAATGTATTTATTTGTTCATTACAACCTAGATTTTAATGTGTTCATGGGAAGCAATAAACGCGTAGGGGTTGTACGAGACCCGAGAAGTGGAGGCGACTGTAATTGGGGTTGATTAAAACAAAGGAAACATAACTCAGATCTTTGCGTAAACGCATTCTTGAAGTTTTTTGTATAATACTTTCAAAGTATTTTTGCATTGCTAGTGCAAAACTATTTGACCACTTAAGTATAAAATTTGATATTTATTTGTATGGGTTATTACCTCCATTTTGAACTACAGTGACCAGGTCAATAGTATATTCCGTGATAAATCTTACTATATATATAGTGGACCCCCGCATAACGATCACCTCCAAATGCGACCAATTATGTAAGTGTATTTATGTAAGTGCGTTTGTACGTGTATGTTTGGGGGTCTGAAATGGATTAATCTACTTCACAATATTCCTTATGGGAACAAATTTGGTCAGTACTGGCACCTGAACATACTTTGGAGTGAAAAAATATCGTTAACCGGGGGTCCACTGTATTCAAGGTTAGATAGAAAGAATTATTGTCTCAAATATTTTATGGATTGTAATTAGTTACAGAAATTAGAAGACAGACCTGTTGATTAATATAAAATTTTTTATACATGTTAGTAGATGTTCTATAGGCAAACATCTTGACTGGTATTATATGGTTTCTGTTTGTGATACATAGGATAACATGTTAGTTGTGATTTACCATGAATTTAAGAGGAGATACAGGGTTACTTGAGGTTAGTCAAAAAAGTCAGTTTTCTTCTTTCTTTCAACAAACCGGCTGTATCCCACCGAGGCGGGGTGGCCCAAAAGGAAAAACGAAAGTTTCTCCTTTTACATTTAGTAATATATACAGGAGAAGGGGTTACTAGCCCCTTGCTCCCGAAAAGTCAGTTTTATCCTTATAGATTCATAGCATGTTACTAGACCTTGTTGAACCACCATAGTATCCCTATAAAGGTCACCATCAGATATTATGCATTTCCTAACTGTGTATATCCAGTTATCAGTTTTAAGCAAATTTCCTATGCCCACACTTGGTGGAGATAGGTACTACCTACCTGGAGTCTACCTGGAGGGTGTTTCAAGTGTCAGTGTCCCTACGGCCCAATCCTTGAGCAGGCCACCCGGTGGATCAGGGCTTGATCAACCAGGCTGTTACTGCTGCCCAAACGTAGTCCACAGCCTGGCTGATTGGGTACTGACTATTGTACAACTGTAAGTCATTGCCTTCCTATATAATGTTAAGAAGTTCAGTGTTTTAACATCTTTAGTGGTCATAAGATCAGTATCATGTAGAAACAGATCTCATTCATTTTCATGTTTTAACTTTCCAGGTACCATTGTACAACTAAGTAAATGCCTTCTTATAAAATGTTAAGAAGTTCACTGTTGTAAAAACATCTCTTGTGGTTGTAAGAACAGTCATTAAAGACATACCACAATAATGCTCATGTCTTAATGCCCTAGTATTGTATCAAGTGTGTTTACTTTATCAGTGATTAGTGAAAATATTAGTTAAAATATGTTAGCTGTTATGGTGAATGTGTAACACTGACACAAGATTCAGGTGTTTTATCACAGAAACTGTGACAACTTTTCCCCTCAAGGGAGGTTCCTTGATGCTGGTGAGGGGCTCTTGATCTATCAAAATGGATCTGTGCTCCAGTTCCATGAATTGAGTCTGAATGCCTTCCAACATCCCCCCCCCACAGGTGCTGTATAATCCCTACGGGTTTAACGTCCCTATTTTTTTTTTTCAACAAGTCGGCTGTCTCCCACCGAGGCAGGGTGACCCAAAAAGAAAGAAAATCCCCAAAAAGAAAATACTTTCATCATCATTCAACACTTTCACCTCACACATAATCACTGTTTTTGCAGAGGTGCCCAGAATACAACAGTTTAGAAGCATATACGTATAAAAATACACAATATATCCCTCCAAACTGCCAATATCCCTAACCCCTCCTTTTGAGTGTAGGCATTGTATTTCCTATTTCCAGGACTCGAGTTCGGTTATATAAAATAACTGGTTTCTCTGAATCCCTTCACTAAATATTACCCTGCTCACACTCCAACAGCTCGTCAGGTTCCAAATACCATGCGTCTCCATTCATTCCTATCTAACACGCTCACACACGCTGGAAGTCCAAACCCCTCGCCCACAACACCTTTACCCCCTCCCTCCAACCTTTTCGAGGACAACCCCTACCCCGCCTTCCTTCTCCTACAGATTTATACGCTCTCCATGTCATTCTACTTTGATCCATTCTCAACAAACCCTCTTCAGTCCTCTGACTAATAACTTTATTAACTCCACACCTTCTAACTTCCACACTCCGAATTTTCTGCATAATATTTACACCACACATTGCCCTTAGACAGGACATCTCCACTGTCTCTAACCGCCTCCTCGCTGCAGCATCTACAACCCAAGCTTCACACCCATATAAGAGTGTTGGTACTACTATACTTTCATAATTCCCTTCTTTGCCTCCATAGATAACATTTTTTACCTCCACATATACCTCAATGCACCACTCACCTTTTTTCCTCCATCAATTCTATGATTAATCTCATCCTTCATAAATCCATCCGCTGACATGTCAACTCCCAAGTATCTGAAAATATTCACTTCTTCCATACTCCTCCTCCCCAATTTGATAACCAATATTTCTTTAAATCATTTGATACCCTTCATCACCTTACTCTTCTCTATGTTCACTTTCAACTTTCTACCTTTACACACACTCCCAAATTCATCCACTAACCTTTGCAGTTTTTCTTTAGAATCTCCCATAAGCACAGTATCATCAGCAAAAAGTAACTGTGTCACTTCCCATTTTGTATTTAATTCCCCATAATTTAATCCCACCCCTCTCCTGAACACCCTAGCATTTACTTCTTTTACAACCCCATCTATAAATATATTAAACAACCATGGTGACATTACACATCCCTGTCTAAGACCTACTTTTACTGGGAAGTAGTCTCCCTCTTCTACACACCCTAACCTGAGCCTCACTATCCTCATAAAAACTCTTTACAGCATTTAATAACTTGCCACCTATTCCGTATACTTGCAACATCTGGCACATTGCTCCCCTATCCACTCTATCATATGCCTTTTCTAAATTCATAAATGCAATAAAAACTTCCCTACTTTTATCTAAATACTGTTCACATATATGCTTCAATGTAAACACTTGATCTACACATCCACTACCCACTTTAAAACCTCCTTGCTCATCCGCAGTTCTACATTCTGTTTCACCTCTAATTCTTTCAATAATAACCCTACTGTACACTCTTCCTGGTATACTCAGTAAACTTACTCCTCTATAATTTTTACAATCTCTTTTGTCTCCCTTCCCTTTATATAAAGGGACTATACACACTCTCTGCCAATCCCTAGGTACCTTTCCCTCTTTCATACATTTATTAAACAAAAATACCAACCACTCCAACACTATGTCCCCCCCTGTTTTTAACATTTCTGTCATGATCCCGTCAGTTCCAGCTGCTTTACCCCCTTTCATTCTACGTAATGCCTCATGCACCTCCCCCACATTCACATCCTGCTCTTCTTCACTCCCCCCTCAAGGAAGGTTCCTTGATGTTGGTGAGGAGCTCTTGATTTAGGGAATTGTATCTGCTCCAGTTCCCCGAATTAAGCCTGAATGCCTTCCACATCCCCCCCCCTGGCGCTGTATAATCCTCCGGGTTTAGCGCTCCCCCTTGATTATAATAATAATAATCTTCTTCACTCCTAAAAGATGGTATACCTCCCTGGCCAGTGCATGAAATTACTGCCTCCCTTTCATCATCGACATTTAACCCTTAAACTGTCCAAACGTAGATCTACATTTTTTTCAACATTTGAAAGTATGTAAAAAAACGTAGATCTTTTTTTTTTTTTTAAATTTGAAAATGTGTAAAAAAAACTTTGATCTACTTTTTTTTTTGTTATATGTATTTGAAAATATGTAAAAAATGTAGGTCTACTTTTGGAGCACTACGCATGTGAACCTAGATCTGTTTGGACAGTTTAAGGGTTAAGTTCCTCAAAATATTCTCACCATCTACCCAATAACTTCATCTCCCCATCTACTAACTCCCCTACTCTGTTTTTAACTGACAAATCCATACTTTCCCTAGGCTTTCTTAACTTGTTTAACTCACTCCAAATTTTTTTCTTATTTTCATTAAAATTTCTTGACAGTGCCTCTCCCACTCTATCATCTGCTCTCCTTTTACACTCTGTCACTACTCTCTTCACCTTTCTTTTACTATCCATATACTCTACTCTTCTTATAACACTTCTTTGTAAAAACCTCTCATAAGCTACCTTTTTCTCTTATCACACCTTGTACTTCATCATTCCACAAATCACTCCTCTTTCCTCCTGCACCCACCCTCCTATAATCACAAACTTCTGCCCCACATTCTAATACTGCATTTTTAAAACTATTCCAACCCTCATCAATCCCCTCACTACTCATACTTGCACCAGCAAGTTTTTCAAGGCTTCTAAGCTTACTGATACATGAACAATTTGTGGTGGTGCATAGCCAACTAGTGATCTTGCAACACTGTGATCCTTCTGGGTTTAGTGCCTAATCTGAGTATAATAATACCCAGATGTGAAGGAACTGAGACTTGACTCCTGCGACCAAGTGTAGGAAAGTACATGTGAACATACATGCTCTTTTGGCAATTCATGGAGTAGCCTTTTGGAATCTCAAGAAACAGTTATTCCAGGTCCTTTATACAACACGTCAGTCCCATTATAGAGCATTGTATGACCCTTGTGGGTTTAGTGCTTAGTTTTAATTATAATAATACAGATAATCCTGTCTTGGAGTATGTAGCACCAGTATAGAACCCACACTTGCAAAAGCATGTTAGTAAATTGGAGAAAGTGTAGAGGTATTGAGTGGCTTGTTCCTGAGCTAATGGGTATGAGCCATGAAAAGAGGCCAGCAGAACTGAATTTAGTAACATTATAGGACGAAAGAACCAGGGGAGACATGATATCAAGACACTCAGAGGAATTGATATGGTGGGTCTGGACAGAATGTTGAGTCATTACAACAGGTACTCTGGGACACAGCTGGAAGTTAGTCACAGATGAACCACAGGGTTGTCAGGAAGTATTTCTTCAGTTTTGGGCAGTGCTTTATGGTCCTTGTGGGTTTAGCACTTAGTTATAATGATAATAATTCAAGTCTCAAGAGTAGCTGGAAAGTGGAATGATGGTGGTGAGGAAGTGGCTCGTTGGCAACTATGGTGGTCAGGCATGCACTATAACAAATTGCGTTCTATTACACAGCTTTTTGGTTTGTGAGCATCTTACCACAGTTGCCGTTCTCGGGAGATTGGACTCTCCCAGCTCCACATTGTTCATACACGCCTTACCCATGGGTATTTCATGGATAGACACCCTATTCCTCTCTGTGAGGTTTGTCAGGTCCCTATTTCGGTTCTTCACTTTCTTGTCAATTGCCTGGTTTACCAGTGAGCACGCAGGATTTACCTCCAACACCGCCACCGACCTTCCACTCTTTATTTTCTCTACTTGCAGACGATCCCACCTTTGACTCCCAATCCCTTTTTGACTTTTTGACAGCAACTGTTTTATTATACAAACTTTGACACATAGCCCTTAGCATCCCTTCCATCCCTTTTCTTCCCTCACCTCTGATCCCCTCTCCACCTGGCTGTTTATAAGCTCACTATTTGCTGCCCCGCAGTGCTGTATGACCCTTGTCGGTTTAGCGCTTTCTTTGATTATAATAATGATGGTGAAGTGATGGAGGTAGGCTCCTTACATAGTTTTAAGAACAGGTATATTAGAGCCTATGAGGGTATGAGCGAGTGACTGAAGAGTGACAAGAGGTATGGCCAGGGGTCTGATAATCAACCCCTGCAACCACAAATAAGTAAATACAAAGTTTTGATTAAACACACTAACACAAACATATACAAACCCTCCCTCACCTTCCACACTCACTACAAATACTTCAATCTCAAAGATGACGGAAACCTGCAAGCAGATTTAGATTTTATCAATAATAATAATCTTTATTTCTACAAGTACACGATCCCCTCAAGGGAGGTTCCTTGATGCTGGTGAGGGGCTCTTGATCAAGGGAGGTTCCTTGATGCTGGTGAGGGGCTCTTGATCAAGGGAGGTTCCTTGATGCTGGTGAGGGGCTCTTGATCAAGGGAGGTTCCTTGATGCTGGTGAGGGGCTATTGATCAAGGGAGGTTCCTTGATGCTGGTGAGGGGCTCTTGATCAAGGGAGGTTCCTTGATGCTGGTGAGGGGCTCTTGATCAAGGGAGGTTCCTTGATGCTGGTGAGGGGCTATTGATCAAGGGAGGTTCCTTGATGTTGGTGAGGGGCTCTTGATCAAAGGAGGTTCGTTGATGCTGGTGAGGGGCTCT